AGTATGGATCATGTGCTTCCAGTAGTACGGGCCCAATACTACCTTCCACACTTATCCATACTTTCCTCAAGAATCATCTTGGTTCCTCTAAGACCTACTCATAATAATACTTCTGATACCTTCTCCACAACAGAAAATCACGCTAAAATACTTCCTATGATCCCCCACCTCCCCTGCCATCAGTTACTGAAGAACTCCTCACAATGTTAGTTAGCTACTTCGTGAGCACAATCACACGTAATAAAGCTCAGATAGTCCTTCAAGTAAAAGACTCATCCTTACAATGGCTAGACTCGGACGAGAGTTGCGGAATAGGGTCAAACCCATCACTCTGAGATTATTCAATTCGTATTACATGTGACTTAACATATTCATTTAACAACTAACTCACGTCACTTAAGAGTCCCACAAAGCACAAAGCAAGCAACATTCGAGCAGTGGAGTCGACTGACACTAAAACATAATAAAACCAGATGGATTCTCATAAGAAATTCCCATCTCCATCTCCCAACATCTCGGATACACATTAGGATGCTCATACACTCTATCCTCACTCCCTAGAGGAAGGCTAAACATATCGCGACTGGCCAGCTGACTTGACATAACTCATCCTACCACCAACTGCCACACAACCCTCCATTGGTGCCAGATAACTATTGCATGAACATTATCACATACTACACAACTTAAACAATCTTAGGTTAAAAGATTCAATCCTACAACAGTTGAACTCAGACAAGAGTTGCATAGTAGGACCAAATCCCTTACCCTAAGACCATTTAACTCATGTAGTATGTGACTTAGCGTGTTTACTCAATAGTTAGTTCACACCTAAAAGAGTTATACAACAATCAATAAGGTATTCTACAAGAGATAAGGAATCATACATCAGGCAATTCTATCATACGATTCCTGAAGATCCCTATCCTATTACTAGCATGTTGTTCTAACATAGCATAACATAATATCAAATAGTTGTGTGGTAATTTGGGGTCTACCGACTGGCCTCGACTGATCGTGCACATCGCATCCTTTTTGTTTATTTTGAAAACTATTTAAAAATCAAATCTTTATCCTTAGTTTGAGACTAGATTCACACTAGTGTTCCTCCAATTCACTCAAACCAAGGAACTAATACCAATATGTAACATCCCAAAATTTTAACAAATTTAAAACTTTTCAAAACAACCCTTTTGTCTAATAGAAGTCTTACAAAACCATTGTTTCCCAAGATCCAAGTAGTTGTAAAACTAAGGATGTGTACGCTCACACCTTCACCTCACCCCAATCATTTGAAGCACTCGAAACAATAAACTAAAATTGTAAACACAAAGCTTAGGGAGTTCCCCCAAAATAGAAATACAAAACAAATAACACAAATACAATAAAATTATACAATGGGTCCAATCAACCATCAGGTTGGAATACCCCAGACCCTCAACCATCGGGTTGGAATGCCAACATGCTATGGGTCCAATCAACCATCTGGTTACAATACCCCATCCCCTCAACCATCGGGCTAGAATGCCAACATAATATGGGTCCAACCAACCATCAGTTTGGAATACCCTTGGGCCCATTCAACCATCGGGTTGGTATGCCCCGACTGTTGGCTTACGCACACAGTAGTAAAGCCTCAGCCACCGACCAAACTTGTGCACATATAATAGATAATCATATAATAGTCTATAGCTAGTCGGGAAGATCTACTGATCATTAAGCAGAACATCATCCTATATAGCATAATATCGATCTAACAGATCACAACAACACAATAGCGTACATAACAGGATATCAAAACTAATGGGCCGACATTGGTGCCTTTGACCTGCAAGTATAGTGAGGAAAACTCACCTCGCATACTAAACAGAACTGATGAGGACCGACTCCGAATCTCAGCTCCAACCAACACTTATTCATCAAATAGATACCAATCCTTAGATACCACTCAAAATACCTCAAATACCCCTTAGGTAAAACTTGGTCAAAGTTAACGATCAAGGTCAACAGTCCATGTTGACCCAATACGCGGTGTTGACTTAGAAACACGTCGTCTGCCGCCTGCATCCAAATAGTCAGGAAAACCTTAGCCAACACGCCATGTTGGCTTCCAAACATGGTGTGTTCGCCTGAGTTCCAACAGCTTAATACATTCTGCTGCTTCTTCGACTCCAAAAGCTCCAAAGCTCATATTTACACCAAGATGTGATTAAGAAGGATAAAGTTTCCAACTTTATCCATTAGGTACTACCAAAACGGTCCAAAACCCAAACCATAAAGCTTGATAATGCAAGGGCTTAACGAATACACACTTAATCCTTAAAGACCGGAGTCCATCCTTTGCAGAAGTGATTCAAACTCCTAAACCATCCTAAAGGTTGGTTCTTTTTAGACATACATGTAAAATGCATGTATTGAACCCATATTAGGTCAAAATGAGGATTTATGACCTAATCTCTATGCATGGCATCAAAACTTGATTATAGACATAAAGGTTGAAAACCTTATGAGATCTAACCATTCCAACATTCAAGAACAAGAAGAAAAAGAAGACACAACCCAAGATCTAACAACTTTGAATGATAAAAATCTAGTCTTGGACATGTACGAAGGTCTAAAAGAGTGCTAAACTGAAGAATGGTGATTACTTGCTGAATCTTTGCTTCCTTCTTCCACCTTCTTCCTTCTTTAACTTCAAAAACACCAAACTAGCTAAAAAATGAGAGGGAAAGATGATTAGGTTTTTTTTCAGAACTTGGGGGGATGATGGGGGCTAAGGGTGAACAAATCCTAGCCTCCAAATTACTTTAAATAGGGAGAAAAACCCAAAAGATTAGGGTTTCATTCCAGCCATCAACACATCGTGTTCTAAGAGGTAACATGTCGTGTTGCCGAAAATGAAACTCGTGCCTCTTCTTATCTGCACATACCATGCTGGTACCTCCAACACACCGTGTTCACTAAAAGGTGATTAATATCCATAGTTGCTCCTCAAATTTTCGGGTGTTACAACACTCAGCGTACACTATGGTATGCCCCGTGTACTAGCCTCAAGGAACAAAAATGAGATTACTTAAGTTACAAAGGGTTAAAAGGAAACATACTCATTTCAAGTGTTACAGTTCTTGTGGATTTTTATGTTAGAAAAACTTCTTCTTAGAACGAAGGTGGTTGATAGAGGAGTGAATTTTGAGTCAGTTCGTTGCCCTTGTTGCAGGTTGGGATGGAAAATATCACATATTTGTTTTTTCTTTATCATGTGCCTACCTAAGTGTGGAATCGCATCTCGTTGTGGCTCGACTTGCAGGTTACTTGTTTTTATTCACCTTTGGAGATGCTTTATTGTATTGATGATCGGTCGGTTATTAGAATGGAAAGAATCATTATTGATTCGATGTTTTTGACTTCCATTTGGGTGCTTTGGACATATAGGATTGTTTTTGTCTTTCGGTCTACAAAGTATCAGAAATAGTTTATCTTTGATAATATTGTTGATTTTTCTTTTCATTGGTTTACTTTTTTTGGAACTCTATGCCTATGATCAATTGGAAGGTTTGGTTAAACAATACAATCCTACCTTAATCTTGTTTCTGCTAGCTCCTAGCTAGCTTTTTTAGAATGACAACATTAATAAAAAAAACTAGTAAAAGCTAGGATTTACACACGAAGAGTTTGAAAAAAGGACATTTAACCCACTCTAACAAATTAACACAAAACTTAGGATTTCTAGCTCTTATACAAAAGAAAGATTGAGACCAAATAAAATCTCAAATTAAAGACTTAATAGGCCTATAGTTGCTAAAAAGAAACCTATTTCAAAAAGACCAAATAAACCAAAATATGGTCAAATAGGCATCATCCACGCATCGTTTAACATTGTCGGCAAGACACACTTGATCAATCCAAGAAACCCAATCTGAAATATAGCTAAAGATTGGAATGTCCAATTCCCACCAAGTCACAAAAAGGTTCCACAAATTAACTGCCATGCCACAAGAAAAGAAGATATGATTGACTGTCTCAACGTCAAGATCATATATAGGACACCTGAAAGAGCCAATATCAATACCTATCCTATCCAAATTGACTCTAATAGAGATTTTATTCAAATTTATCCTTCAAAAGAGCACATTCACCTTGGAAGGGAGAAGTTGATTCCACCTACTAGGGCCAATACCAACCTCCAATAATTTGGAAGCAATAAGAAACCTAACAGAAGTGACAAAAAATCCTGTAGAAGCATCAAGACCCAATTTCTTTTTTTTTTTCAAATTTGTTGTTGTTCAAATAAAATTATGATTGATTTTCTTTTGGTTAAATTTTGCCCCAAAATATAACTTGTTAGATGCCCCCACTACTAGAAAACAACCCTTTAATGACGCGCAAACAATGATACACAATGATTTACGATACGCAAAAACGTGTGCCCAAAAAATAATGTCATCTCTTATAAAATTTGAAGGATAGAGGACATGCATTTGTGTGTGCCCTAAAATTTGTGTCAGAAAAGAAAAAAAATAAATACGGAGGACACCTATCATAAAATGTGTGTCGCTTTATATTTTTTTTAATGAAACATGTTGTTTAAGCGGGAAATGAAATCCCCAAAAATTAAAACCCCGCCAATTCCATGTAAAAAATTAAAACCCGCTCCTCTTCCAATTAGCAAGAAAGAACCCTAGGGTCTTCGTATTCTTCTCTCTCTCTAACCTAAAACCCAACCTGCAATTTCATAGAGATTGTTATTACGATTTAAAAAGCAAAGAAGAAGGCAAGCAAGGTAAGTATCATTGACACAATTCATAAATCTCTTCTGACCAAAAATTAGGTGGTTCCCAGAGAGTTTGCAGTGACATAATTTCAGAGATTGGATCTTTATCTAGGATTCAGTCCAGATACGTGTCACCTTCCAAAGAATCCAAACTTGTGGCAAGATGTAAAAGTTTTCAAGAAAGACCTCAAGCTCAACCACTCCTTCTTCAGTTCTTCACCCTTCCTGTATGACTCGTACCGAGTCCGGACTCAGTGTATCCGGAAAACAAAAACAAGAAAAAGGCTCTAAAATGCCTCCCTTTCTTCCACTCCCCCATATGCGAACCAGACCAGACGACGCGATGACACCCATCTCCTACCAGACTTTCATCTCTGACATAGACACAGCCGTCGACTCCACTCTAGCCGACGATTCCATCACAGGTAAGATTTTTTATTTCCATCATAGGTTTGATTTTTGAACCATAATTTTCCCAGTTTGATTTTTTGAACGATTTTACTTCGATTCTATTACACCTTAGGGTTTGAATTAAAATTTCTCCATGAGAACCACCGTCTCGCCAACCGCTGCCACCCTGATCAGCATAAAGAATCTAAAAACATTAAATTGAAGGGACGATTCTAGGGCTTTTTTCAAGAAAACACACTTATGGCTATCTCTCTCTCTCTCTCTCTCTCTCTCTCTCTCTCACACACACACACACACACAAAATTGAAGGTTACTCCATTGAGGGTTTGTCTGGGAGAACTGCCTCCTCGTTCGTTTGATGGTGCGATAGCAACTGAAGTGGATTGTTATTCTTCGCCTTCGAAGCGTGAATTGAAATTGGAAAAGTTAAACTCGCAGATTCAATCCCCTGAAGCGATTGTTCAAGGTAAGGTTGCTAAACCTTTACTTAATTAACTTTCCTCCCCTTTTTCATAGCAATTCGAAAATCAATTTAGCAAATGAAATGGATATTGTTTTGCACCATATAACTGATCCTAATCAAAAATATGAATTCAATAAATGTTGGAGTGGGTTGACGATGGTGCCAAGATAGAGTATGACTCAAAAAGTAAAATAAAAATAGAAATAAAAGAGGAATTGGCCTCAAATCCTCTTATTATCATAATTTTCTTGTGGGAATTGCATACAGGGTCAAGGTTAATCATGAAAAAATGTTTGCAAGCTGGTGTTTTCTCCTAAATCTAAAGCAGGACTTGTTGTCAAGATTATATCAGTTGCCAGGTGAAATATTGTTTTTCTTTTTGTTCACTTTGCTTTTTGAAAAAAAAATCTTATATTCTTTTTTTGTTTGTATTAGAAACTTCTATTCCAAGCTAGACTGGGTGAAATATTATATGCATTTGAGTTTGTTGATCATTTAGACAGTGTCCAAACTCCATTAGCATCTTCAATTTACAACTTCTATGTTCTTATCGAGACAACCGGAAGTAATGAATCTAATGACAGGTAACTAAATTGTTTCTATTTTACTTTACCTATTTATATACTTATATATAATAATAATTATATATAATATCTATCTGATTTTTTAGAGAGAATGTTGAGGGTTTTCTTGTGGATGCAATGAAAAGTGGTTTAATAAGTGATGGAGCCATATCAAAGGATTTGAATCAAGCATTGTCATTTTGGCGAATTCGTGAGGGAATTCCAGAAGCATTGCAGAAAGCTGGAGTTGTATATGAATATGACCTGTCAATTCCAGTTAAGAAAATGTATGATCTTGTTGAAGAAATGAGGATACTTTTTAGTTAAAAGGACAAAAAAAATTGATGAAAATTATTTCAATTTGTTATGATTTGCTAATTTTGGTTTTAAGAAAAGAAAAACAACTGGTAAAGCAAATATAGTGGGATATGGTCACCTTGGAGATGGAAACCTTCATTTGAATATGTCGGATCCACAGTATGATGATGTTGTAAGATTTTTTATTTTGTTTTTCAAAAATAAAAAATCAATTTTTTTCTAATTGTTACAATAAAAAAATACAAATTTTGGCTGAAACTGAACCATTTGTGTATGAATGGACATCAAAGCAACATGGGAGTATTAGTGCTGAACATGGATTAGGTCTTATGAAAGCTGAAAAGATTTACTATAGCAAGTCAACTGCAACTCTATGTCTACTTTTGTATTGTTATTATTATTATTATTATTATTATTATTATTATTATTATTACCTTTTAGTAATTTCACTAAGGTGTTGTTTTTGTTTTACTTAATGGACTTAATAGTTTAAGGCCTATTAGATACAAATATATAGATTAGTTTTTTTTAAATGTATGCATAAATCATATCTTAGTGGGCTAAGACATCCACAATAGCATCAGATATCCCCATCTAAATATGAAACATAAATAATTTTATAATTATAACTTTATAACATAATACAATGTAGCTGAAAAAAATATATATTTTAACTCTACTCTACACTTTTGAAGAATAAAAAGCTCTTAATAACCCATATATGACTATAATAAGAACATATATTTTCTTATTAGTTTTATGAATATTAGTTTAATCAAATTTGTGAAATTTTCAAAAATAATTGTGTCATCAATGTCTTACCGCATGAGCTGCTTCCAATGCCCTATCATCAGTTGAAAAAACAACCATCCAGTCTCTGTGAGTCTCTTTGACAGAGGAAGGCATTGCAAAACTTGGTCCTCAGGTGGCAACCGTGGCTGAAGTCAAACGCTTGGATGCTCATGAATGTGAAGTGCACTTTTTAAATCTTGGATTTTTGGGTTGAAAATTACAATGAATGATGTATTTATAATCCATATTTTGATTACTATATAGCAGACACATACGTGAGGATGCTGGTGATGGGAAGGGTACAACCAAGGACTTGTTGGACAAAATAGCATCACTGGAAAGTGAGGCAGAAAAGTCTTTTATGCACAGTTTTACACTTGAAATCTCTCATATTTACATACATGTACATGAGGAAATTTATCTAACAATCATCATGTGTGACCCAATTCCTTTGATCTTTGCTTTAGCTGTTAGAATAATGGGATTTATCCAAGTTGATAAGATTACAGATTATCTTTAGGATCCCCTTCAAAGGTGTCTCAAGGTAACATAACATATCTGTTTATTGTTGGAGTCTTTATTTATTAAGTAGACAAACTACTATAAAATGATTTAACTTTCTACTCCCTTTTATTATTATGATCCTTATGTTGAAAGATAGCAACTATATGTGTTGCTAAACTTTATGACATAAATGAAAAGTTAGTTGAAGACAGGGGTTTTCTGGTAAGCAGAAAAGTCAAGCTACTTTCATTCTTTCATTTCACTTCCATTTATTGCCATATCATAATCTAACATGTTATTTGAAGACGGGGGTTTTCTAGTACCAGGTTAATTTTTTTTAATCTTCAATAATATTCATATCATATTACATTATATTACTAAATTATGATTATAATTATGGGTTTGGTTATAGATTTCCAAGGCATTGCAATGTATTAAAGTTCTTTAAACTTAACTTTTTCTTTCTCGGTTATTTTCGGGTTGCTTCTTAAAATTGAATGATGCAATATTAGCACATGGATATTCCTGGTTAAAATTTGTTTTAGTTTCTCTTACAAGTAAGCATTCTCCTCCCTCATCTTTTACATTGTTTTAGTTGAAGGTTAAAAGTTGGTTTTAGTTGCTCTTTACAAAATCCCAATAAATTTATTGGGATTCGTTGGTTTATGTGAATCTAATGGTTGCATTATTCAAATTTGCAGGTCTTGTTGATGTGTATAGAGTCAAATAAAGTTGTTGTGAAGGTCGGCAACAAGTTCTTGTAGTTCGACTATAGTATTTGTTGACGACTTTCATCTCTTTCACATTTGATGTATTACATTTGTCTATTATTGGAACGGTTATTTGTATGACATTAAATTTTGTGCAATGGATTGTATTTTTTGTATATAGTGTTTTATTTTCTCTTATGAGTCATTAAATGCAAATTTAATTTGAAAATTAGTAAATTACAAATATTTTTTTTAACATTTAATTTTACGATACGCAAAAATGTGTGTCATCTACATTTATGACATGGCCTTTCTTGATAGAGGTTTTAATGATACACATTGTGTGTCATAAATGTGCGTCGTAAATGCGCGTCGTCTATAAACGACGCGCAAAAGCGTGTCGTCTCTCGTTATGACAGGGCCTTCCTTGACACGCATTTGCGCGTCGTCTGAGCATTTTACGACACGCATTGCGCGTCATAAAAGACTGTTTTTCTAGTAGTGCCCGAAATAAGGTAACCCAAAATATATATATTTAACATGTTTTACCTTAATTAGTCATATTGTTAACTTCTCCACATTAATTTCAATGCCTTATACTGATATTGTACTTTTGTCCATGCTTTCCATTGTAATTCTAGCATGAAAATTTGTTTAGGTTTCGGAACCACAAGAGAGGGCGCTACCCCTTGCATCTCAGCATTCATTATGTTTGTGGTCAAGCTAGTCTTATATAAGTGTACATCTTGTGTCACGTGACATGTATTAGATCAAGTCTAAATCCTTTTTGACAACAATATAAAGTCCAAATTACCTAAAAAGACAAACCAAACCAATGACAATAATTCAAGGTTCTAAATAATGTGGGGTGTGGTGTGATGACAATGCTAAACCTCAAGCCTTATGAGTTGTGGCGAGTTCGCTATGACTTCATATGAAATCTAAAAGTTTTTCATTGTTTTCCTTTAATATTAAAGCTTTGTTAGCGATCTAGTAACCGCTACAAATGGAGACATTGATGTGGTCATGTCAGGGTTGATCCTGAAAAATTAAATATCCTCAAAGGTTCAGGACGAAAAAAATGATCTTTACTGTTATTATAAGTATATATATATATATATATATATATATATATATATATATATATATATATATATATATATATATATATATATATATATATATATATATACCTTGTGTAGTTGCCCACTTTGTCCCTTCAACGCTCCAATGTAAAACATCTTGTGGAAACAAAACTCGTGATTGTTTGGAGAAACTCACCCAAAAATGATTCTTTGGTATTTCATTTGGGCGCCATATATTATAACATTCACATTATACCATCATTCATTCAATACCACATAGTTTATAAATAATTGATGTTATTTTATATAATGGGAGTTCTTTATCTGGAGATGAGAACATTTAGACGTCAACATTTAAATAACATTAAAACTTTATGAATCAAATATCCATTTTCCTTTTTTGAAATGACAACGAGCAAACGCAATACTAACAAAAAGCATAATATAAGTAGATTAGAATCCAATAACTTAAGTTGTTTATGACGATGAATTCTGAGTTTGAAAAGCACAGACCTAATAATTGTAAGGAAACAAAAAGAAAAGAAAAGAAAAGGGAAGGGAAGGGAAGGGAAGAAATCATATTGTCAAACATTTAACAAAATGGCCCTAAAAGTTACTTTGTAAGACTTTTGACACCAATAACAATTTTAAATTGTGTCATTGTGTCATTAACTAGACAACCATGTCTTACGCTAACCTTTTTTGTACGTGTGTGTGTTTTTATGTTCAAGTGGGATCCTGTTAAATAATTGTGTCGGCCTTTTTATTAATGTTTTACTTGTCTTTTTGAGATAAATTGTATCTAAACTAGGCAAATTTTGAATTTTAACCAACTTTATACTTAAAAAACATTTTTTTTTCTAAATTAACATTTAAGTTTATAGTTAAATGGACGATTAAGCTACCTAAAATAGAAGTTGCGATGAGTAACCGGGTCACTTTTATATATATATATATATATATATATATATATATATATATATATATATATTATATATATATATATATATATATATATATATATGATCAAATGAGAACACCTCAAAGGTTGAGAACGCGAGAATAGTTGTGTATCGATCATTTTATAAGGATATATTAGTAACTTTATATAAATATTAATTAATGATTTCCTAAAATTTAGGAATAGTGATTTTAATTACCTAAAAAAATTAATAATTCTTTTTACATAATGAAATATATATAAAAAAATTTATGATGATTTTTCCGAAAAATAATTTATGAATGTTTCTTTTTCTTTAAAAAGAAATCGTTACAACTCAAATCACAAATGAATCCACTTTTATTTACGATCACATTTTAATACACTTCTTTTCACAATCACAAATGAATATACACTGTTATTCACAAATATCACAAATAGATATTGTTTTAAACACAAATGAATATAACAAAATAGTACATAAATTACATCTAAAAGAAAATGATAAACACGAATTTATGTTCATTATCATTTATTCAACCAAGATACAAACACATCTAATCAATATTGAATACATTTAATCACAAATGAAATATACTTCTAATTAAAAATAAAATTACAATACATAAGTTAGCTGTTTTTCTATCAGCATAAGAGAATACATATATAAAACATCAAGCTCCATTTTCTTGAAAATTTGCTTCCAACTGCTATTTTGTTTCCTTATTTCTTCTAAATGGACCTAACACAAAAATCACTAGATTAATTCATCAGTTTTAACCTTTTATTAACGACCATTGTCTATGAAGTATGAAAATTTGTAAATAGATTTGATCTTACTTGTATTGTTAGTAGAAATTGGTGAGATTGAAAACCATATCTTTGAGTAATCTTGTTGGTTCATTAATGCATCAAAGTGTTATAATCATTAATGAAAGGGACTCAACGCCTACCTCTTGATCCTTGGATCGCTAGTAATCATTAACGATTAATGATGTTGGTGCTTTTTGCCTTTTGTACCGCATCCAAATCTTGCTTTTATCGTCTCATGCTACCCTCTTGATCTATATGTCTCTTATATCCAACTCTACTATGAGTTAGAGTGAGACTCAACCAACTTTGATTTATGATTTTCTGCTAGTATCCAACATCACACCCAAAAACAAAGACATTTGTGATCATTGTTATTCTTAAATTCATTTCTGTAAAATGAGTTCAATGATATTAAAAAAAAAAAAAAAAACAATTCACAAACTATAATAATGTATAGGGAATGTATATATACATCTTCAGTTATTCACAAACACTTGTATATATGGCTATAGTTATATTCATGTATAATTATAGCTATATTCATGTATGATTATAGCAGAAAAGGAAGAAAAAAAACAAATGGCAAACAGATAGAAATATTTAAGTAATTTTGTTTGCATCAATACAAAGAAATTTAAATGTTCTATTGTTTTTGCTTGTCATTGAGAGTGTAGCAAAAGGTTAGATTTCATTTTCATTCATTGAATATCGTTGGAAAAAAATCAACGAAAAGATTGAGAAAGAACCAAACAAGCATTCAAGTTCCAGTTTTCTGAATTCGGGCATTTCATCGAGCACCTTATATGCACAACTTATCTTCTTCCCATATTAGTCGATTTAAATGAGTAAAGTACCATACCTGAGAAACATGCACATGCAAAAGAATGTCGCCTGTTGAATCTAGATGTAGGTCTGGAATATTTGAAACCAAAACGATATCCAATCAAGTATTTGCTAGAATAGGGGAAGAAGATAAGTTGTATGCGATTTATGTATCGAATTTGACATCCAATTTATGTATAGAATTACCTGTATGCGATTCAAACGACACATTGGAAATCGAAATATTCACTTTGGAAATCGATACATTGGCACAATACTCGTCGATCGATTTGGAGTAGATCAGGGGAAGGTCGACGCCTCTTTTGCACCAGTGACGAGTAGATCAGCCGTTCATTGTCACTTGATCAGACAAGGATCAAAATTTCCCCAATCGATTATGCCTCCCGATCCCTGCTCCGTTCGTGAATCCTTCTCCTCCGATCAACAACAATTTGGAGATCCTGTTTCCATTTCCTTTTTTTTTTTTTTTTTTTTTTTGCTTCATCGATTCCCTTTTGGTAGTGGATCAATGATGTAGGGTGGAGGCGTACCTAGGTTTACACAGAGAGATGAAGAGAGAGACGGGAAATTGAAGAAAATAACTGAGTGATTGAGAAATTATAGGAATTACCTAACGGTGGTAAAG